CTAAGCCAAGAAAAAAAATAGCCTGTATTTTAACCCCTGATGTTGACCGTTACCTGACAGAATTCTGTCCTGCGCTCCAAGCCTCGTAAACACTCTATCAACTGGTGTGAGGCGGCACTTTTCAGCCGGAACATAACAACCCTGTAAAATGAAAAGATCTACTTCAACAAAGTATAAGCTACTGAGAAAACGGAGTACAGGCAGTGTTGTGTCTAGATCGGGGAGGACACGATCAAGGTAACAGTTTAAAATGAAAAGAAGAAAACAAAAGGACAATTTTTTTTGTCGTCGAAAATTTACGTTAAAAGGCTACAATTTTCCCCCTTTCCCGAATTTGCACCACGAGGCCTTTGATTTGCTACGAGATTTCGACCATTTACTAAGAGTTCTCAGTCATATCCAAAATTAACCTTTAATCTCTTCAAAAGGAATGATGTACCAACAAAAAGTAATGATGTCCGGACATTCTGTCCAATGAGAACAAACAAATTAAATTCCCGCTATTCCCTAGCAATATTGCTTCTTGTTTGAAGACAGATAGAATTAAGAAGAAATCCGCCAGAAGTTCGAGTAACAATTGGACAAAAACTTGCTACCGAGATTATTTACATATTCAGTGCGACTGTTTTAAATATCTTCTCGAAAAAAATCATTTCTAACAACACCAAATATTGTGAAAAAATTTTGAAGTTCACACTTGAAAGTACTGTTGAAATGAAACTGATGATGAAATTTTACCTGTGTTTGAACAATTCCTCTGAACTTTGAGAAGCAGAATTTGCTCGATTCCTATCGGATTTCATCTTAAAATGTTTAAACAGAGAGAGAAGAAAAATTTACCATCTGTGCCATAATCACAATCAGCCCGGCTTGTCTCATGAGCGTCGACTTGCCGCCCATGTTCGGTCCGGTGACGAGCACGCATGTGCTTTGACTGTTAACCGCTGTCTCCTCGTCGCAGTCATTGTCCTGGAAAATGCAACAACAATGGTGCTAAGTCAGCAAAAATGCCCATTTGCCACAAAGCCAAAAGACAACTGAAAAATAACCAAAACACTCCATACTTACATCTCTTATCCCAACCACTGTGTCATTTGGAATAAAATCCCCGCCACTGAATGTACGAGAGATGCAGGGATGACGCCCATCTCGAATTTCCAAGAAAGGCTTTTGAGTAGAGACAGAGAGAAAGAAGAAAAAGAATCACGTTAAACAAGAACATTAGATCATGTACATGGCGAAACAAAAGGATCACCATCAAAGATTAATGAAAAGTAGCCACCATTTGGCGCGAAAATATGCTCGGATATTTGTTCGCAGACATTATCCGTTCCGAGAAGCGAACATTTTTCCAAGAGCGGAGCTCGAGGAAAACTGTGAGCTTTGAGGAACAGATAATGTCCAAGGACAACTATCCGAGCATATTTTCACGCCAAATGGAGGCTATTGTGTTTATTATCCTTCAAATATTTTTCGCAACACGCGCAGTTTTGAAAATTGTGGAACATCACTCGGATATTCCCCAGTTATAACTGGGGGATAATGCAGTCACGTTACGTTTCGCTCAATCGCGCGCGAGCGAAAATATTTGATGGATTATAAATAAAAATATTCTTGACGCTGCGTGAATGATTCGAGAAAAATTCGTAGCTAAACACGCCAATAGACCTTTTTAGCTTAGGGGGTTAGTTGCCCCATTTCAAACCATGTAATGATACTCTTGAGAAATCTTGCTTACAAATTTTCAAATAGTCCCGTGCGGTCTAAGAAAAATTTCAAGGAGCCCAAAGGTCCCTATAACCATGAAATCCTGGGTGCCCAGTACTTGAGCTTATAACAAAAAAGTGAGATTTTGCAATCGCCCAAAATCAAAAGTTAGTCGCCCATGGCACCCGGAAGTTCCTGGAGCACAAACCTGATATGAATGAATAACTTTCAGATGGATAAAAAACAATTCTCTAGAGAATATCACGTGGTCTGTACTCAAAAACCAAGCGGCCCAAACTGAAAAAGTCTAGTCGTCTCAAAATCTGGCGTTTTGAAATGATTTTTCTCGAGGATCGGAGGAACACCAAGGAGCTTTATGAAGACCGTACCTGGAAGTCCTCGGCTGAATTCTTATCGGGAAGAACAATTTCAGGTCTACACATGGGGCCGTCACCCTGTGAACTGAAGGGAGTGTCACCGTTAAGAAAAAACGAAGCTTTATCTCTCCGTTTAGGCTTTCCGTCCGCACTAATCCGTCACAAAAACGGAGCTTTTGGAAAACGCTCGTCAAACCGGAGGAATTTGTAAACGCCGCTTTTCGTTTCCGCGTGGACGGAAAACACTTTAACTAAAACGGAGCTTTTCGAAAACGATGTCGTCACGGTAATCACGAGATTTCCTTGACTGAATTTTGCTCGAACAATTATTGCGTTTTTTAATTCCTCCGGCTTATAGTGTGGACGGAGAACATTTGATGCGTTTTCAAAGTGAAACCTCCGATTTCAAATTCATAAGGAGTAATGTGGACGAGGCAGAAATGCAAAGTTACGGACTACAGGTGTTCAAGAGCTCACCTGTAGGACGCCAGACTGATCAGTGAATCCACAACAGCTAAGCATTGAACTGTTTTGTCCCAGGTTTTGTACCTACCAAGAGGAAAGTTCCCGTTTAGTTCAACATGGCTTAGAGCAGTTTTGAAAAAAAAAACTGTATTCGCATTGTCACACAACAAAAGCAAAAGCACTAACAATCCTGTTAAACGAGTTTTCACGCGCACTCGGTCAATCAGGTTTCCCACACTTTTCACCGGTTATAAGTTTTCCCACGCTTTTAGTCGTTTTCTTGTTTTCAGCATTCCTCACAAGTTAAATGTTTTCCCGCGTTTTTCACCAATCATATATTTTTTCCCGCGCTTTGCATCAGTTGCACATTTTACCGCCCTTCCCGCCGCTGAAACGTTTTCCCGCGCTTAGTCGTACCGGAAGTCACAAGTTTCCACCTCTTTTTACACACCACTTACAACAACCATTTACATGCCAAAAGCAAAAAGAAATTTTTCCTTAACTACATTTTCACTCACTCTTGATCAAACTTATGAAACACGTGTCTCATAGTGTCCTTCAAAACCTCTTCTCTCCTCTCCTCGGCATCCACCATCTCAGCCAGTTTCTCCTCGATCTCTGACGTCCAATATCTTTTAAAACCCTTTTTCTGCGACTGTAGAGTGTACTTATCAGGTATTTTGCGGATGGAATCGGGAACTTCCAGCTGGAAACGGTTCTTAGCTGAAATGGTACAACATAAAGTGATCAGAGACAGCTGTACGAAGAGGCTTATCACTGACCAATGGATTAAGAGTCAACAGAGAACTACGCCTTTTCTCCTGAGTACCGTGTTTGTTTTTCACGTGTATTATTATGCTTATCACTCCCTCTAGGAGCCATTATACCATGCTCTACAAATATAGTAAGCTTACGAGTAATTTTTTTGGGCGTTTGTATTTTTATTTCACTTTAGTTCTCTACATTTTGGGGGGCGTTTTTAATTAAACAATTATTCCACTCGCGGTTGTTGGTTATGAGATGGTAGATAGCCAATGCGCAGTTGTTAATTATCAGTATACTGTATGTATCGCCTCACCTGAACCCCAATACGTCACCTGAACAAAACAAAATAAAACAAAAATATATATATTATTTTAGGTACAGCAATAAATAATAAATATTGTGGACAAGACAACAGTCAAGACAACTTTTTCAAGTGGACTGTTATTTGCTCAGGTTCCGCTTTGAAGCCAAGTCGAAGAGCCGTGCTGATTGAATAAACGAAAATAGAGCTTACTGTCATAAAGTTGTGTTAACTGACTCAGAGTAGTACTTACATTAGGGCAGTTATACCCTTGAAAAATAAAGAAGAAACCGTGGTTTTCGGCAAAGTTCTGGAAACAGCTCAAAATTTAGTTCCCCCTATTCAATATTCCACGAGTTAATACAATATGGTAAATTGCCAAGCAAATAGGTAAAGCTAATAAAGTAAATCTCTAGCAAGAGGTTATTGTGTTGATGTACTATCAAGTTCTCTGCACAAACATAAAACGAAATGTATGGAAGTCTGTAGGGAGAATTACTCCTTCAACCTTAGCCTGAGCTGGGCTTGGTAGAGGTCATTTGCACACTCACCTTGCAGCCCAGCACAGCACACTGTTTCTTCAGATACTGATCAAACCAGCTTTTAGTTGCCTGAATGTCAGCCAATGCTTGGTCATACTCTGGGTCAACCCCTGTAAGCGAAAAAATTGTGATTAAGGCTATTTTCATCATTTTGCACACTATCTCTGTTCTCATAGGCTGAGCGCATACATGGATAAGAAAAATGCAAATTAAATTTGGGCCAACTTGTCCATACCGCTAGAGTTTAGCAGAGTTTAGTAGTATTAAGGGACTGAGAATTTTGCTTCTCCCCCCCAGATGGGATGCTAGTCCACCGCAGGGTTGTCATTCAGCGGTAAATTTGTCGGTACCCATTTATTCACCTGGGCTAAGAAAGGCTCTGTGTGAGAAAAGTGTGTTACCCAAGAACACCATACAATGACCCCAGCCAGGGCTCAAACCTAGACCACTTGAGTCCACTGCAACTCTCAAAGTGATGCAGACATTAGGATTTATATAATGCTGGGGCAGATAGCGGATTTTAGAGACGGGGGTTCAAGGTATGGACCACCAAAAGCAGTCCCCGGTAGGGGGGTCGGGGGCATCCTTCCTCCGAAACATTTTCAAAAATAAAGTCTTAGGAAATGGGATTTCTGGCATTCTGAGGCCAAGTTAGCATGTTATAATGTCTCATTTTTTTTAATTTAGTAGGATTGAACAAACCCCCAGAGATCTGGCTGTAATTATCTAGACATATAAATTTACACATGCAGAGATACATCATGTATGCATCATCATCTGTCTGCTGGAGAATGTGTTGCTATTGTGAAGAAGAGATCAGATGTCAATACCTTAAATCCAAGACTTTATATGTGGACATTACACTTTTGTCAAAGATAAAATGAGCATGAACCAATTTAATGGAAGATTTTATGCCGGAACTTTCACTAAGGAAGTAAGGCGTCAACAGACTGGGCTTGGTATTAAAACATCTTGAATAAAATCATACACATACAATGCAAGCAAAGGCCTACAGCTTTCTAACTCTCTGCACGTAATGTATGCCTATGTCTCTAGCCATTACACATAGCAAAATATGCATGCAATGTCACCACACCTGGTTTAGGTAGAATGACTCCTTCATTCCTGGCTTTGTTGTGATCAAATGCATACTGAGGGAAACAAAACAGGAAAGATAACCAGGAGGAAAGATTCTGACAAGGCTCAACTTTCAGGAAAAAACCTTGGGACCAGCTGGCCTCTAAGTTCACAGATTTAGTCACCAGCAAAAGTAATTCAGTAAAAAGCGTGAAAAGTTAGTTGCCAGTGAAAAAAATTTGGTCACCAATGGGACCCCAGCGGTCGCAATGTCGAGCTCTGTTCTGACAGACAAGAACAAAGAATTTACATCTCAAAGACGTTTGGCACTTCACAACTAAAGAAGTCCACCAAATATTAGCAATAAGCTACTAGTAAAAGTACCTTGAAAGTGTTCAAGAGATCATCCAGCTTTGGAAAGTGTCCAGTGGTTTTTGACTGCTTAACTACAGAGGAACAATAACACAAGCAAGGGGTTCACAGGTGGTTCCCAACTTCTACAATTAAATTGAATACTTAGGTTTTGATATTCCTGTTCTAAGAGAGCCCTTGTTGAAGCACATCAAATTATGAGAGTAGAAATGTCAGACTGGCTAAAAGAACATTCGCAAATATACCAACCATCGTTACCCTGTTCTGTAACAACCTGGGAAAGAAGTTTGGACCTGCAAAATTGATAAAAAGAGGTATCATTCAATGAGTAAGGTAAAGTCTGGATAGGAGCCAGGGGGCCCATCAGGCCAGAGCTATCTCAGTTTCTGTAGCATGAAGCAACTAGGAGTATTTCTACTCCCCCATGGATGGGATGCTAGTTCATTGTAGGATTACCCCCTGCATTAAATTTGCTGGTACCCATTAAGAACACAAAACATTACAATGTCCCCAGCCAGGGCTTGAACCCAGACTGTGTGATCTGGAGCAGAGCCCACTAACCATGAGGCCACCACACTTCCAACAACATTCATTAATAAGCAGCTAACAAAAAAGAAACAGATAATGTATTCTCCGAGCTAAACATTTTGGCATTTTTTTTAAAGAGAGAGTTTACACTTTGGAACTTTTAGAGGGGAAATCTAATGTTTTAATAGGTCTACTAGGATCCATCGTTATATTTCATTTACCTGAAAGAGCTGACATGGTCCTTGAACAAGCTCACAATCTCTGTTGCTTTATTAAAACCCTCCAAGATTGTTAGGAAATCATTGATTTTGCGCTTGCTGGAGAGGAACGTAATGAACAAATTATTTATTAACTTGAAGGGGTATTCAACAGTGAATGTAAGTGAATATTGAGCTAATTCAGGAGCACCTGTAAGTGTCCTCATTGTAGAGAATGGCTCTGCTTGCTGGATGATTCTTGTCTCGTGGCAATCCCAGTGCATGGATTCTATAATCAAGGAAGAAACATGAATTAGTTGCTGGCAGGGTTCACACTAAAAACATTCCATGACACAATTCTAATTTTTGGAGGACCCATCCACTTGAAAATATCATTAGAAATTGACCCTATAGGCTCAGGTTTAAGTTCTTTTTAGGTCTTTCACTGTATGAAAAAATTTTCTCATCAAGCAGTTTGGCACCTTGGTTTCTTTTGTTTTTCATATTTCAAGGTTTTTCATTAGGCCCAAAATTATGTACTAATCTCATGGAATTTCAAGACTTGAACTTTGATTTTTAAATTCAAGGGCTTTCAAGGTGTGTGCGAACCCTGAGCTGGTATCAAAAACTTTTAAACGATACTTTGTTAATTTTATGATAGCTCAAGAGGAGCTGAAATTTTCCAACATCACTAACATATCATTCTGTAAGTTAAGAAGCAAAAACACCCCCAATAGCTGTTATTGAAGTTGAGTCTGCAGTCAAATATTCTTTTGTTTAAAAAGGCATAAAAACAAGACGAAAGGGTCAATGCAAAGCAGAATTGACCCTTTCGCCTTGTTTGTATGTCAAACCGTTGATAACTAAAATAACAGCTATTAAATATGCACAAGACCATACTTTTTTAACAGTCTTTCAAGGTCTGGTAGAACTTTGAGGACATCTTTCACATCAGCCATTAAACCTGCATTTGACATAAGATCTTCAACAGAATTCAGCCTGTGAAGCACACATGTACACAGAAATGTTAGCAAAACATTTTAAATGAAAGTTAAATTTGTCTTTTACATGGATTTAAGCTGGCAATAAAAATGTAATCAGCCAGTGTAGGTAAAAATTCTACATGCTTTCAAATTTTAGTCAGCATTATTCCAGTTGCTGCAAGAACTGTACAAAATGCTGTGGTCTCAATCCTATTTCACATGTGCAAATCAAAAGTTAAGTCATTGCAGGCATGCACTCGGCCCTGGAAATTGGGGGGGGGGGTGGTCTTATAAGCTATATGGGTATGTGCCACTGGGAAGGGTATGATTTTCAGGCATTTTAGTCTGGCATAGAGTATAGAAATAAGACAGTTTTGGTCTAGAACAGGGTACAATTTCCTGGAAAAGTGGCCATTGTATAAAAAATTTAGTCAAAAACAGGGTTGTTCACCTGGGGTTCCATATTAGAAATTGAAACCAGAAAATGACTTCGTAAGATATTGGTTTAGTTAGCTTCTGTTGGACTAAGATAGTTATAAAGTTTCTACATGAAAAATAGCTAGTCTCGGATAGCATAGCGGTTTTTGATTGTTAGTCTAGAATAGGGTTACAAAATCAAGCTGATCGTGGTCTAGTATAGGGTAAGGGTTTCAGTGTCGCAGCAGCAAACCCCACCCAAAGATTTACAGAGTACCCCCCTAGGGAGAAGGNGGTCTACTATAGGGTAAGGGTTTCGTGTCCTAGTGGCACACCCCAGCCCAAAGATTTACATAGTACCTCCCCCCGGATCGATAAGCGGTTGGCCACTCTGTTGCGACGTGTTGCGACATGCTTGTCGTTGATCGATGATGGATTACATAAAGGTGCACAGAGCCACTGCTTAAACAGCCTTTTGCCTGTATGGAAAAACATAAATTTTTGCATGAGGAAGACTTTGGAATCCTGGCATACCGCAATTAATCGGACAATGAGTCAAAACCGTTACCTAGACAAAATTCTATTCTTTTATAAACCCCATTAAAGCATTTTATTTCCTCGCAAGTATCTTTTTGTTCTTATTGTAATTTTTCCAACTTCACACTTTTTACCATATATATTTCAAAGATCGCATTTATTATTCACTATTTGTCAAAGATTGCAGACTAGCAATCGAAAGCATGCAATTTTAAACTAATTTAACCAGAGAATGTTTCTAAATTTTAACTATTTCTTGTCCTGGTTACCTGTCCACTTTTAAATGTACTTTATAGTTAACTTCAAGTTATTTGCGTGTCTCCAAAACTCTTCAGGGGAACACAGTTTATATTGGAAGAGAGAGAGCTCCACAGAAAACATTTTACTAACCATTAGTAAAGTTCTCGTTATCATAACTGTGACTAAATAAGGCATATTTCTATTGTAGGTCTTTAATATTCTCTTCACACTGTGGGTTAAATCTTAGCAGCAATTGAAACGCTGATCCCATTATTTGCCAGGCAAATTGTCACAGAGGCTGGTCTTTTGTATTTAATATTTACTTTCTTCCAGCTGTATGAATGCTGACAATTTAACTCTTTTATAAAAGAGTCAAACAGGCAAAGTGTTGTAAGTACAGAGGATCTGGTGGACCACAAAAACACTTTTTGACTTAACGCCAAGTTTCACCAAAAAAATAATAATAATAATAAAAGGAAACAGTATGGAGAATTTGCATGGTAATAAAAAAAAATACTGGTAAGTGATTGTAAATAAGTCATAAAATAATGTAATTATTAATAATTGTTATTAATAGATATCCCCACCAAATGGAGTGGAGCATTGATCCAGTCTTTCTAACAGAGTTCCCTCAGATGTTGTATCCAGCCCAGTTGGAACAATGTCAAGGTTTGTAAGAGTGACGTTGTCCAGGATCTGCAAATACAAGTCAGAACAAGTTAGGCCCCGTCCACGCTTTAAAACGGATGTTTCACTCTGATAACACATCAAATGTTTTCCGTCCACATTACGCCACAGAAATTTAAAGAAGTACAACGTGACAATCACCAGTCATAATTTTGGATTCGAGTTTGATGAAAACTCAGGGAAATGACACAACTATTGTGATGCCATCGTTTTTGGAAAGCTTTGTTTTCAAACTGTTTTCCATCAACACACAAACAAAAATTCCTCCAGTTTGAAGAGCTCGCATTTTTGAAAAGTTCTTCTCTCCTGATGGATAAGTGTGGACAGTAGGTGTAGGGGTCACCCCACCCTCACACAGTCAGTCACAGTCAGTCACGTGATATGTAGAAACTAGTCGACCACAAGGTCGAGAGATCGAAAAGAAAAGAAAACGGTTGGACAAGTCTACGTTATGATCTTGCCTTATTCTTTTGTGGACATGAGGGCCAACATAGGCCTAACCATAGAAAGAAAGCTGCATTTCAAATTTCTCCCACATAGCGTGAACAGGGCCTTATATACACTGTATACCATTAGTTCTTCCCACATGAATAACAAAAACTAATCCTAAAAGTGTGTCACAACATTTAGTTTGTTACTTCTGAATTTGATTGTATGGCCAGGAGTATACAAAATCTAGTATTCTAAATCTCTTAAATTGTTATCTCTTAAATTATAAATTCAAATAGTGTGCAGAAGTTACAGGATTGAACTCCTGTTAGGGGAACTCAGAGTTATTTTTCCAAGAGTTTGTACCACTGCCTAGTAACATTTTTCTAACATTTCTACTGAGCTAAAAATACATCATTCATCATTTCTTTTCAACAACAATTCACTTCAAATTTAGGCAGGAGTTTCCACAGGTGTCAATTCTTGAAATACACTCTACAGTTTTAGTTTTTCAATTTTAAAGAAGATAGACTTGGTTGTCTCATTGGTATGGCAGAAATACTAACAGTTTTTATCCCAAATTGTGATCATTCTCTGTGCCAATTACCGTACTGCAGTTTTATTCTTCTGTTAAGTCTTAGATATCTTTAAGGCAGTCCTTTACATAATATTAGGAGTTATTGGCTTCCCTGGGCTTCCTTCCCCGTATACATTGATATCTTGTAAATTTATATATTTATAAATGAAAAAAAAAAAAGAAAATGATAAAATAAAACAAAGAAAAAAACAAAGAAACAAGTACCATGTGTTGTCTTCCTTTTGTAAATGCACTTTGTCCACTCCGTGCACAGCTGTCTAGAGGTGTATATTCCTGAAGGGTAAAATTAAAATAAAAAAGTCCCAAGATATATAGGCAGTTGTAGTATAGATATAGTTGACCTACTTAGCTTACCAGACCATAGATGCCATTTGACGATTCTAAGTAGAATCTACTCTATATGCAGCATGGACCATTTCATTAATGTTTTCATTTGAGGGCAAAGCTTTTTGGAAAATTTTTTTCCTAGATCATGGTCACACCAGGTGGGCAAAATCATCGTCACAGCCGGTCAATTTGCGCAGTACCCGGTCCTTAATGAAATTCCCGTGTAGGATCTTGTGGGATCCAAGTTAGTGATGGAATCTTACTTACAATCCTAAAGAGCACAAAGGCTGTCACCAATAATACTAGATCCTTCCTGAACTAGTGCAGGAACCTGCTGGATCATACTAGACCCAATATGATCTTGTGCAGGATCTTACGGGCATTGTTTCAATGATCTTTGCTTGTGATCCTGTTAGAATCCCACAAAATCTATCAAGTGCTGGTGTAGAAGTTTCATTTACTGCTCCAGGCATTGGAAAACACTTCTAGGGAGACTTGAAAAAGCCAGGGAGGGGACGGGGGAGGGGAACTGGGTGGGGTGGAGGTAGCTTGCGATGAAACAGCATGCAATCCAGGGAAGAATAATGACCCCTCCTTGCCCAGGGGTACAGAAGCTGGGATCATACATGTAAGCTTCTGTAAAGTGGCCTCTTTAAGCAGAGCTTGCCTTTCTTACAATTTAAAGAAGGTACACTATTAATACATTGTACACACTGTACCTCAAAATTTCCCATTGACAAGACTTCTTCATCTATTAGACATTTCTTTAGATACCTTAAAAGTTACAACACCAAATTTACNCCTTTGCATTGATATATAATTTGTAGTGGTTGTCTTTAAGACAGCGCGGTAATATTTTTTTCGCTAAGGACACCCGCGAAGGTTTACGGTAACCTTAATAAAGTGACTTGCAGACCTTGACTGGATTTTCTGTGCTAGTCTTATCTTTGTTAAAATACTGCTGCTCCGCCAGAACCTTCAACGTCTTGCCTGCCTCCCAAAATTGTGTTCCTACAAAGAAAATGCAATATTCAGTGTTTCAAAAAAATATGAATATAGACTTACAAATCCAGGAAGTACATGTATTTATTATCTGAGATTTGAAGGGGAATGTAACCTTTTTGGGGGTTGGAGGAGGGAAGAGAAGTATTTTCTGGAATGCTGTAGATTTAGAGTAAGGTTCAAGTCTTTCATTCACCTACCTTGTGTTAGATATTCTTTCATAGAGGACATTAACTCATGGTTGAGAACATGCTGTGTTTTCAGTGTTAATCCTCCACGAGGACACAGGACCTTAAATGAGATAACAATGGACAGACATAATTGGGGNCTGTGGGAGGAGTATAATGGATATTTTCTGGAACAGCACATTCGAAAAATGCAGACTCAGAGCAAAATTTCTTGGAAACAAATTACTTTAATTTGATATTATTTGCATCATTTAATAAGATGATAATGTTAAGGCCCTGATAGCTTTTGTGGGAGCAAACTGGGACACTGTCCTAAACTGAATAACATACAGTCAGCACGTTTCTGATCAACAAACACATTTCTATGTTTGATATTTAGATTACTTACTTGTAACCCTTCTGAATCAGGGTATCAGAGTATCGACCAAAAGCAATTTCAGGAAAACCAGCATGGGCAAAAGTACCCTGAAAAATACATGTAAAGAAAAAACATTATGAAATACATGTCTGTTATCATTCTACTTTAAATTTGCTATTTCAGTACATGTATGCATAGGAGAGCTGGACCCAACTGCTCAAATGAAGGACTGCTGAACAGAAACTTAAACTTACCTTCATGTAGATCAATCCTAGTTCCTTGACCCCGACAGTAGCATCCATATTGTACAATTCATAGAATTTACCAACCTGATCAAAATGAATAAGACCATGAATAAATCTTTTAAATGTACATATTGCAGATTTGTTCAAAGTATACCCTGGATTTCCTGAAAGTTTGACACGGACAACAATAATGTCATTAGTAAGTTTTGATTGGTTTTCTTATTCAACACTAGACAAGTCTAGATCTCATCAATTACTAGTATATACTGGTTGACCAAGCGTAAATCAAGATATGGCTTGATATAGGAAAAACACATTGAGGCTAATATCCAGCCATCTTGATTAAATCAGCTTGGTTAATTGAGACTGTAAGTACTCTGTTGTGGGGCATACAGAACACCATTTTCTTTCAGGGTAGAGAGGACAATCCTGAGTGGGTAAGTCAGCCCCATTTTGCTTCCTCGGGTAGCTAATGGTTCTACAATCACCCTTCCATCTCATGGAGCTAGCCATGTAATGCAATCACGTAATTTGTACTATACCTTAAAGAAAAGGATGGTATCAAAGTTGTCACTCTTTAGTTGCCACCATTGCTTCATTGCCTGAGCAAAAACAAAGGACACAAANCCAGCATGGGCAAAAGTACCCTGAAAAATACATGTAAAGAAAAAACATTTTGAAGCACATGTCTATCATCATTCTGTTTTAAATTTGCTATTTCAATACATGTATGCATGGGAGAGCTGGACCCAACTGCTCAAATGAAGGACTGCTGAACACAAACTTAAACTTACCTTCATGTAGATCAATCCTAGTTCCTTGACCCCAACAGTAGCATCCATATTGTACAATTCATAGAATTTACCAACCTGATCAAAACGAATAAGACCATGAATAAATCTTTTAAATGTACATATTGCAGATTTGTTCAAAGTATACCCCGGATTTCCTGAAAGTTTGACAGGGACAACAATAATGTCATTAGTAAGTTTTGATTGGTTTTCTTATTCAACACTAGACAAGTCTAGATCTTATCAATTACCAGTTTATACTGGTTGACCGAGCGTAAGTCAAGATATGGCTTGATATAGGAAAAACACATTGAGGCTAATATCCAACCATCTTGATTAAATCAGCTTGGTTAATTCAGACTGTAAGTACTCTATTGTGGGGCATACAGAACACCATTTTCTTGCAGGGTAGAGAGGACAATCCTGAGTGGGTAAGTCAGCCCCATTTTGCTTCCTCGGGTAGCTAATGGTTCTACAATCACCCTTCCATCTCATGGAGCTAGCCATGTAATGCAATCACGTAATTTGTACTATACCTTAAAGAAAAGGATGGTATCAAAGTTGTCACTCTTTAGTTGCCACCATTGCTTCATTGCCTGAGCAAAAACAAAGGACACAAAGTCAGCACCAGAAGACCATGTAGATGATTAACAATTTGTAGCTTCACTCAAATAGCAAACAAATAAATGCACATCAATATTTTTGGCTTTTTGGAGGAGAACAGAATAAAAACACTTACAGGTGTGACATCTTTTGATGTTAGAAAGGATGATGGAACCTGTAGAATTATACAAAATATCCTGTTAGTAAATAAATGCAAATTACATGTAAGCTACCTATAACCAACTTTGGGATGAAGTGCAGCGCTTATGAAAAATCAAACAACTCCCCAGTGAAGCTTATAAAAAGTCATAAAGAGAAAATATATTGTTCTCTAACTGCTCGTTTTCATTGTCAATGAGGAAACAAAGTAAAAAAATCGAAGATTCTTTTTAGTTGAGAAAATCATCATCCACAGTTTAAAACCAACCAGTGAAAGCATAGCAATTATTTCAAAGTAATAAAATTAATATTGATAAATTGTCACAAATATCAACATTTACCAGTAACGTCCTGGGATCATAGTCAGGATGCGACATTGGTCTACCATGTTTGTCTCTAGAAGAAAAAATATAAAATAATGTATCACCAGTGATAAAAACATATTATTGTGTGGTAAATGAGCAATGACAAATGTTCCTTCCTTGATATTACACCTGCCAACTTCTTCACCATACAATCCCTCATGATGAAAATATAAAATACTTGATGAACAAACTTAATCATATATTTTTTTAGATTCTCATCCACATTCATGTAGTTTAAGTTATTACATGTATATCATATATGCAGCGTAAAAAATATACACTCACTAGAAATTTTGAAGTTGCAGTCAAGACAAAGGCCCATTTATTGTGGTTTCCATACTGGCATGAAGAAACAGAAAGGATTGCTATGTGTCCATGCCCTTCTCACTCTCTCAATCCTCTTTGTTCCTGGTGGAACATAGGTCATCCACTAGTGCCTGACCCTATATTGACCCTTCACGTGACCCTATATTGAGCAGTGCATTTCACCTTCCGCCGTGTGAGCTGTCTCTGCTCCAACTCTACCATTCTTGTGCACCTCCATGTGTGCTGGGGTACACAGTCATATTAATGTAAATAATCCTGTTTGGATATAATGCATTTTGCATCACGTCCATTACAAATCACTGCTACCCATTCACACTTGTGGGTAGAGAAAGGTAGTGTGAGATCAAGTTAATAACTATCTTGGCCACAAGCACAACAAAGTGAACCTGGCAAGCACCCTGAGCTCGAAGCTGGACTGCTCAACCTAGAGTTCATGACTCTAACCACAATACCACTGCATCTGACCCAACTGCAGAACAGAGATGCAACTCTTTTGAAGTCTATTTGTGTTTTTTTTTCACCCTCAGTCTTCCCAGAAGTATAAATACATACCTTCTCTTGTCTTCTTTTAACCAGTCTAGTTTTTCATGCTTATAGGTCCCTGCACCAGCCTCATCAACAGTGTTCACACTAGGAACTGGGGAAGAACTCATCTGGAATCTTGCCAGTGATTCTGCTGCTTTACTGGCTGAACTTGACACCTTGTTTGTTAATGATCCTGGTAGCAGTGACGGTGAGGGTGTACTTAAAACAGGTTGCTTAGAGTTAACAGGTGTACATGGAGGCGAAGACTTGGGGTTCTTTGTTTTCTGCTGACGTGGTGTTGATGTGTTGCCTCTTTTACGCTTACGAGATGACTATTATACAAACAAAACGTCAGACAGAAAAATAATACATGTAAATCAGGCAGTGAACATTAACAAATTTAAAAATACTTGGACCCATCCATTCAAAATAGGAAATATGCTAAGCTGACTCAAGATCATTATCAATAAATGAATATAATGTTTACAATTTTTATCCATACTTTTAATACTTAGCAAATCTTTGACATGAATGGGCACTGGCAAAATTTGTACAGCCTGAGTGACAAGGTACTTGGAAGTGGAAACCCTGTGACAAACAAGCGTCCGACACAGGCGGACAAACAATACTCCTACAGCTGTAGACACTTTAAGCTAAATGTACAGTGTATTGAAATCACAATTAAGAGTCCTTTAATCATGTTTACTGTAGGTAGTGTCGGCCAACACTAACAAGCAATATATCGACTGACACTTGGTCCATACCTCAGCTGAGTATCNCCTTTTGGCTGAATCTTCATTGCCCCGCACATAAAAACTCATGTAATTCCTTCAACGGATTGGTATCTGCCACCATTTTCGCAGCAAATGAAAAGCACGTGGTGTTGAAGTTCGCCTGTGATCCCAGAAGAAGCCGCTGAAACAAAATGGTGCGCCGTGAACGCAGTATCAACATGTCAAAATACATTCAATTTTTTCAATTATCTTGTAATATTCAGACATTATTTTACTGGGACGGAAAGGTGAGTTGTATACTAACTACCATATTTGATTGATTCCCTAATATAGAGATTTAAAGACAAAAGTTGTGTCATGATTTTCTTTAGTTATCAGACAAAACATGAGTCGCCAGCTGGCGACCAGTTGTGAAAATTTAGCCGCCAGTGCTCAATTTTTGGTCGCATTGGCAACCAGTGAGTTGCAATTTCGAGCCCTGGGCTGACATATCGACCAGGTGTCGGTAGATATATTGCATGACAGTGTCAACACCACCTAGAGTAAACATGATCCGAGACCTTTATAGCTTGTAAAGAGAATTTGTTTCCCTTTCCATAATGTCAAACTAAATAAGAACCTTTTCCAAGATATCCTCAATGTCCTCTTCTGATTGGGTTTCGTCTTCTAACTCATTTTCTTCAACTCCACTACTACAGCTCTCATCACTATCCTCTTCGTCTGGTTTATAATCATCTGAAACAAGATTTTGTTGAGAAGACAATGTCTTGATTTGTTTGTCTGTGGTGTTGTGTTATAGCAATAAAACAAAAATTTCCACTGGTGGTCACTCAATTATAAAATGTAAAACACTACAAATTAAAGACCCATGACCATCTGTACATAGTTCAGATCATTATTTTGCACTAAAGACATCTGCGGTTGAGTGTCGATTGATACCCTTGCTCAATCAACATCTCCATCAAAACTTGATGTGATTGATTCTCTGTCAACACTCAACCAACAGTCAGTTGCATCGACTGAAAATTAGTCAACTCTTGACTGTCTGTCAAACAAGATATCGATGAAGTGCCAATTGAGGTGTCAATGACGTATGATTGAGTATCGATCGAGCCTTGATCAAGGGTACTGTGAAGGGTATCAATTGACACTCAACCATGGATGCCTTCAGTACAAATGATCCCATAGCAATTCACCTGCCGAGTCTCCTTCTGAGCCAGATTCTATAACTCGCCTTTTCTTCACTTTATTGTTCTTTGCTGCAGCTTTCCTCTTTGGGCGTTTGCTGTTATACTAAATACAGAAATCAAACACAATTTAGTATCAATGTCGTAAGTGAAGTTAACAATACAAATTTCTAGGCATTAATTTACAGAGAGGTTATAATCAAAGACACCAACATGGCAATGTTTAAGATTCTTGTGATAAAAGTAATGGGCTCAATAATAATACAACGTTCCCAGGCTAATCTGGGGTTTACAGGGTCTTTTCCAAAAAACTCTCTTTAATCTCTTCACTACCTTTTTCCCAGTAACCTCATCATCATCTTCATCATCACTTTCACCCTTTCTAGAACTATCAGCACTGTTCTTCCTTTTCTGTCCATCCTTTCGTTTGCTCGGGTTCTCATCTTCTGATAGCATGGTTTGATCACCGTCTTTGTCATCATCATCATCATCATCATCCTCCTCGTCAGAAGCCAAACAGTTGACAAGCTCCTTTCTTTGTTCTAATGAAAGCGACAAAGCTTCTTCCGCTTGCTGGACTGCCTTTTTAACAGTTGGGTCCACTACATGACCATTGTGACCTTTCAAGAAGGGTTTGACTTGTCTAAAAGAAAAGAGTATAAATGTTAACAAACAGAAGGTTCTCTGAAATACAGTAGCTATCTTCCATAGCAAGTTTCCTAATCCTTCTTCTCCATGTTCCTGCCCATTTCATAGTCCTTTCTTTATTGCATGACGTGCGCTGTTGCAAAAAAATTTTTCCTTTTCCACCAGGTTGTTACCATCTGGAACATTAACACTTTCCACCCTCTCTTTCTGCCAGAGTCGTTGTCCCCTTTACCCCTGGTATTCTGTTCCCCTATACCTACTGATACCCCCAACCCCTTACCCACCTCCTTGACCCCACACCAGCTGGGCCTGGGCTGGGTAAATTATATATTTTCTGTGTTAACACCATATTGAAGTAATTAAATGCATAATAACTATGCATAATGGTTTCTTTTAATACTTTTCGTCTGGGACAAACAGGGTCATAAACTGTTTGAAAGACTCGTGAAACTGTGTGTACGGGGTTGCACAGAACTCTTTGCCCATGTGTATGAAACTATCAGTACGCTTATAAAGGAAGGCAGTTGAAAGTTGTATGGGGAGTTGGTCTCACAAAAAAACAATTACTTCTGACTACATTTAGTATCATAGTTAGTAGAGTATTAATACAACTAAACTACACACCCATATCTACACTGTATTGTTCAAATTAAATGTTAAAAATTAGTGCCGCAAAATTACCCGGCATAAACAACACCAGCAAATCGTATGCAATGTACAATGAAGAAGAGCTTAGTTGAGCTGCATGCAAATTTCAGGTTCTCGAATTCCTTCCCCCATATTCCTACCTTCGCTTCACCCAAGCTCTACTCGGGGGCTCCCCAAAGAACTGAACATGGCACTCATCCCTTCGTTCATACACTCCTAGTGTAGGATGATTACATATCAAACTCGGCCACCAAGGATGTCCTTCGAGTTTCGCCCACAATATTCCACAGAGTTCAATTTTTGTCGGCGACCCTGATTTTACGTTCGATTGTTTCGGAGAATTTTTGTCTTTTCTCGTCGACGCTTTTTCTCCATTAATTGGCGAGAAACCTTTTGCTCTTTCTTTCGGTGAATTGCTCTTCTTTTTCTCTGCTGTTTCACCGCAGACGGGCGAAGAAGGCTTCTTGGATTTTGGTGTTTTTGCAAAGTAGGAGAAGAGAGTGGCCATATTTATCTCTCCGCGATCAACTCACTCACGTGAACAATTTTCCCGCGTTTCTTGTACTAATGTAATGCGCATGTGCAGTTCTAGACTCTCTCGGCCACAGCAGTTTGGACTGTGTAGGCATGGGTAAGTGTTTTATAAAGCTAAACCAATTTCTCAATTAACAAAATTGAACCAAAAAATTATAGATGTTATCAGAAATCTATTTTTTTCAGTAGTAAGAGAAAGTCCTCTGATATCTTCATTAATCTTTTTGGCTGAGACTACAGGTGAACTTTATTTTACATGTATGCACTTTTCACACTATATGCTAGGGGGGGTTACTCCCTTATACGCGCTATATGGGTATGTGTGGCCCCAAAGGGTATGGTTTTTCAGCTGTTTTAGTCATAAACAGGGTATCGTTTTTGGCCATTTTGGTCATAAATAGGGTATGTTTTTGCACTTGTCTTGATAATTATGAGTATGTTTTTAGAACAATCCACTTTTTCATCACATTTTTTTGGAAAAGAAAATCAACAAAAACCCTTCACAAATAATTATTATGTTTACGGTAATTTAACACTGGTCTGAGCTAGGGAGCTAATTATGAGGCAGGTCTGAAACAGGGTTTTGCTTTAAGGGTCAGGTCATAAATAGAGTATCGAAGTTTTGGACGGGTCATAAATAGGGTAGGGAAAATATATTGCAGATTTTGGTCATAAATAGGGCAAGGGTTTTGGGAAGCAAGCTGCACACCCCAACCAAATTTTTCTGGGAGTGATCCCCAGGACTATATGGGCTGATCTGACCTATGTCAGACTGACTTTGCAAATGTTTTCTCAAGTTTTTAGTCAAACACAAATGCAAGATCATTTCAGACGGAAAGTAGGCCCCAATCTCATCCACAGAGTCTGCACTCTGCACAAATTATTTTGGTCAGCAGTGACCATTAACCCTCAACGTTCTAGATGAAATCAAAAACCAGAACCAGAAAATCCTGGTTTTAATTGTGCACTTGGAATATAGGAACAGAGGGTTCCTTGACAATATCAACACAAAAATCAACCTCCTCCTGAAATCACTTTTAATGTGCAGATCCAGGACATGTCCATGCCAACACAAGATATGCTAACAAACATGATATCATCACAATGCTGGGCTAAACGTGACATTTGGATTTTGTTCCTGCTCATTTTCAAGGAGCCTCTTCTCAGGACCCTACGACTTGATAACACTCTTTTCAATTAGAGGACCTTTTTAGAGGGCCTCAAAGCTAAGAGAAGGGCATGCATCGGGTTGGTGACAGGGCTACTTATTTTGGCCTTAAATTGACGACATGGTCATCTCGAAAAAGGGTATAGGTAATAAGATTGGATCAGGATGTGTGATGTTCGACCCATGTGCAAAGCATGCCTAGTTGTTCTGTTTCATTAATTGAATTCTTAATTACTACTATTTTGGGGATTCATCATTTTTCTTAAAATACCAGTAATTTGGCTTTTTAAAGCTCTAACTGTATACTTTGTTTCTTAGCTTGTTCGTCTGTTTTTTTGGAGAGGGCAGGGGGGGAGGGAATCAAGAGATGTAGGCAGCAGTTATAACTTCAAGTGAAATGTCTTCTTGCATTTAAGATTTCAGTTAAAAAAACCTTCAGTTTTAAAAATTTGCATTGTGCTATCATGGATAGTTGGTTAGAGTGCAAAACATAGAATTTGTTGTAGAGAAAAGAATGATCTTGCTTGCATTGCACCACTCAGTTCCTTGATCATCTGATAGGACTGGTTGAACCAGGCCAGATTTTCAGTTCCTGAGTTCTTTTAGGAATTAAATCTTGATGTGAAGTCCACTGTTGTATTGCAAAAGATGCACTTCTGATCTCAAGTATTTAGATATCAATTATGACGTAGACTTCATGCTTGTCATCGTTGTCATGTACTTGCATGTTGGAGTAGGTTATGGCCTTAACCTCTGTCCCCTGATGATACAAAAAAATATTAACAAAAAAATGAAAAATTAACAAATGGAATTAACTGTAATGCCAAAGATTAAGCTACTTTGGTCAATGAGTACATTTTAATATTTGATTTTAGTTGTATATTTTTCTTTTTTTTTTTTTCCATTTCTGTATTTTCCTTGTTGATGTTGTAATTTAATTAGTGTAAGATTTGTAAATAGTGCAAAATTATATTGATTCTGAATCCAGCAACTGATGTAACAAGGATGGGCAATTTTAATGTTCACTGTGTAAATTCCCAAAGAAAATATTTTCAGTATGTACGCAATCTTTGTGCCTAAAATATATTTTTTTAAACTATATTACTTGAAAAAATTTCAGGCATCAAAAAATGTTGGACATTTCTTTTCAGACTCTTAATTTTTGGGCACTTTTTATCTCATTTTGGATAAATTTCGAACAGAAATTTCAGACACTTACACTGTAGTTGAAACGTACTTAAAGTAAATTTGCACAGTCCAATAAATAACAGAATTAATTAGAATGAAACAACATCTGTGAAAATGATAGTTTTACTATCAAGCCATTACATATCTCAAACAGTGTCTCAAGGAGAGTTCGCTGCATAAAGTAAACTAAGAGCTTTGGAGCTACTTGAAAATATTATGCTGTACTGTAAATATTTCAGACGCTTACAATTTGATGCTTTACAATTTACCTGTGGATGTTTCTCAAGGTCAAAATCTTCACCTCTCCTAGAAATTTTATTTTAAAACAAACATTACACTGGTCTAATCAACTTATAAAAGATGGGCATGGGTAATGCAATTGATACAAATTGGTAAACATTAAACACTAGCCTGGTGATGGCAAGACATGAACCCTCAAACACTTTTGTACAGGTGGTGATTTAAAAGCACTTTGCATGATTCCATGATCAACATTAAAAATAAAATCAGGGAATTGAAACCAATCTTAATTTTGAGTTTGACTGTACCTACATCTTAGAGAAACAAGCTTAGGACTACAAAGTTGTGGGTGCAAGATCATAATTTCCACATACCACAACTGCTGTGTAGCAAAATTTGAATAACGTTCCATCATTTCAGAAACACGGGTAGACATCATCACGCAATGGTGCCAAAAAGGGAAACAACGTTTTCTAGATCAAGGTGAATGTCATTTCAATTATTTATGAAAAAAATATCTTGCAATTCCAATCCACGATTTTTGATTAAAAAATGTTCAAAGTTTAAGTACATACTCACCCTACAGCTCTTATCTTAAAATTATCTTTGTCAAATTCTAAAATTTCAACCTCCTGTGAAGCAATCAAAACAACACTGATGGATATTTCATATAATAAAAGTAGTGAATGTTGATTCTATGAAGTTGATAAAAATAGCAATTTCATCTATATATTACAGAGATATGCCTAACATACAATGTACATGTATACAACATTTCATATGGTTTAATTTCAATTAATGTTTCATCTGAGTTGTGCGTCCCTGAGAGAAGTTGCACATTGTTTGTTTGTTTGTTTTATTTTTTGCCTTTTATCAAATATATATACCAGTAAATTTACAAAAGATCAATGCATAAGGAAAGGAAGCCCAGCGAAGCCAATGAGGCTTAGGATAAAAATGCTGCCATCAGCATACAACATGATCGCAATTTACACGTAAGATAAAAAATAGTTAACTACGAAAGTTATCTAAAGGTGCAAAAGCGCAAAAGCAAAGCAAGAAAACAAATTTAGCAGAAAAAGCACACAAAAGCACACAAGTAGTTCACAACATGTTCTCTAAAAGCTTTCTTGTAGAAAGTACTGAAGAGGAACTGTTTTTAATATTAAATTACAAATCAACTTCAGGACAGTCATTCTCAATTTTTACTAACAATGCTCCAATGTTACAATAATTTAATTGTTTAGTAATTTACTAAAAATCTGTTTAATTTCAAGTACCTTTACAATAAAGTATGGATCATCGCACATCAGGAAGAGGAACTCATCAAGGAAATGGAATAGTAAGCCTATCATGTCATCACCTGGAAGGAAATTTAAAAGTTAGAGCCCATGAATTAATTTGTTAACTGTTGCACTGTCCAGTTGAAAGGCTACTCCTGGACACAGCTGGAGCGGCTTGTCAGGGAGAAGAGATAGGAGGAGTGTTGTCAGTTGCCTATCCTCCAAAACAGAGTGGACAGACTTCAGATCACTGTTACAGTGAATCCCACACTATAAATATTGCCACCATAAAGACTGCACAAATTTGGACTCATTTTTTCTTCCCAGACCTATATCTTAGTTATTCCTTGGAATGTTTCTCTCTTTCATTGCAGACAAAAAAATCTCTAGCAGATCGGGCATCTGTAATAGTTGAGTTCAATAATTATTGTTTTTATTATCATTCAATCACCAAGTTTCTTTTCATATTTAAATCACTCTCTGACAGCTCAGACAAGAGCCTGGTTACAATAGCACATGTAAGCAGAATTTTATTTGTACACCAAAATACATTTAGACAGTATTATGCATAAGCAGACCATTATTTGTAGGCAGCTATTTGCAGGCCACGTGGTGGGCTTTCAGTCAATGAAAAGGAAGAAAAATGCATTGAAAGATTAATGATATTTATCATCATGACATTTAGGAAGTCCCTGTTGATATCTCTTCTTTAGGTAATTCATTCAATTTGTCATTTGTCTTGTTACAGTACCTTCAGCTGTGACCTCTACAGTTCTTGCAATATCAATGCTGGACAGCTCTGTCATATAGCCAAACATGGCTGTTGCTACCTTACAAAGTATCAAGAAATATTGCAGAGTTTAGATGTCAACCTCATGTCTATGTTTTGGTCAACTTTTTTTCTGCTTAACTTTGATTTGAATTTTTTTTATTTTTAAATAAAAAGAAGTTTTATTTTTGGGTGCTTTCCATTCATCTAAAAATTCTGGTTTAAATTTTCAGAAATTTCCTGTGGTGATCTGGAATTTAACAAACGAGGAGATTAGAGCAAGAGCAGGAATGGAGACAATAAGCAAGCAAGTCGCAAGGAGGAGATGGACGTGGCTGGGTCACGTCCTCAGAATGGATCACCACTCACATCCACGAATTGCTCNTTTGTAAAATAAGGTTTATGTCCTTTATGATATTTGATATGCTGTATTGAGACCCACGTCAAATGTCAAACTTCACAAGAGACGGACTAAATTGCAATTTGGGTCAATCCAAACAGGTAAAGCTTGACTGTTGGGTCAAACATTGAACTAGATCAACCAACTTAATTCATCCAAATTCAGTCAGACAAACTCAGTTGAGTCAAATGTTGAACTTATCATGAACTTAATCCGCTCAGTTAAGTTTGTCTTATGTGAAGTTCAACATTTGACCTGGGCCTTTTTAAGTTTGACAACCTTGCAGAACTTTTGGGGGAAAGGTACTGTACATGTATACATGGGTATTTTGGGGTGTCTTGCCTAGCCTTCATTTGAATGTCCCTGTTTAATTAGAAACAATCCTTAGAATACAGTCTTATAGCCTAGAAAATTAAAATAAGCAAACGCTAGCTACAAGAACATAAGAACTTATCACGCCTATTGTAACAAATTCATTACAGTTAATAATGCTGATCTGTACAACTCCAAGTTGAGTGTAACATCACAAGGGGTGTCATCACAATTTCACAACACCACCAACACTAGTCACACACACAAGACCGTTTTCAAATTTATCATTTCTTCCTATTCATTCTTAATATTTACTAAGAAATAAAAATCATGATTGGTGGCTGTGGATACTTAGTAAGCTTATAAACATTGGAGAGAAGTACTTACTGGACATCAGCAGTATGATCTAAGTCTGTTAAGGGACGTAAACAAATGAAGAAATTTTAAATTAAGACGGCATGCCTAGTATTTTAACTTTGCTATTCACACTGTTCAGAAATCAATTTTTTTAGAATTTTTTGCGATCGGCTTCCCATACAAACACTGTAATTTCTGGAGCATGATGCCTCGGTCAAGAAGGCTCCCAAAACCGTTGGTGAGAAAGTCTACATTCAGCTACATAAATGATAGAACCGAACTAAACAATATATCTTTTCTTTTGATACTTACACTCATACTTGACTGGCTTTTCTGCAACTTTCCCTGACGTTGTCGCCATCGTATTTTTCAGTCTGTCTAAAAACAATTTATAAAACGTTTCCCGAGTCAAGTCCACTCGCCATATTGGATGAGCCTGCGAAAACTCTCCTTCGGTTTGAGGAGTATGCGCCATGGTCACATAAGATCGCAAAGATGGCGGTAGATTTGACTTCAACCAAAATTGTACCTTTACAGGTTGGTTTATTGAGCATAAAGTATCTCTTTACTGACAGATTAAGTAAGACTTACTTTTTTTCCATTATCGATTTCAACAGGCATTAGTTCGTGGATTTCTTGCCCGTAGAAAATTACTGGAAGTTCGGAAAGAATTTGAAGACGTTTTGAACGATTTGGAGAAGGACACAAACGTTGTGTGTTGGAAAACAAAAACTCTAGGACTTCCGTTGATAAGTTCGGATCCTAAAGTATTATCCAGCGTAAGTAAAGAAAAGATCTTACGTACAAAGGAGAATGACGTTGAAGTCAATCAAAGAGATTCATTGGAGGATGAATTTGGTGTGAAGCTTTCTGTCAAGGAGTTTGAAACAATGTTAAATACTGGACATGGCGAGCAAGGTAATGGAGAAAGGAGTGCGGTTGACGAAGAACCCGTGCTAGATCGCCCAGCTTCTGGAGCGTCAAATTTTGAAAGTTATGACAACCACGGTGACTTGCTGCAAATTAACCAAGAGTCTGGTCAGGAAAGTAGCAGTACGTTTAGGCAAGTGGACAGACCAGGAGAACAAGCCATCTGTTCCAGGGAACAAGGTTCAGAAAAAAAGAGACTTTTAATGCCAAATTCTGACACAACAACTCAATGTGATTGTCCAGATGAAAGATGTTCTCACAGGGTTCCAGATTTACCTTCTCCCTTAAACAGTACACTGAAAAGCACACATGGGTCAGGGGCTGAACGAGAGGAAAGGCAGACAGTTGGACAAGAAAGTACTTTACAATCATCACTGCAGTCATATTTACAAGGGGGAACTCCTTACTTGAGGGACCAAACCCGGCTAAGTGACACTTGGTTGACGGACAGGTCATTTGGTAAGCAGTTGGGATGGGACTCTAGCCTAGGAGAATGTAAGCCATACTCGTAGGTCAGAACAGATCAAGTGCAACAAGATCAGTAGGCTGATGATATTCTGAGCAAACTTAGCCTGCAAACACAGACAGATTTCCAGAAATGTACAGTTCACAGGCTAGAGCAAGTTTGATTAATAAGAGAAATATTACACATCTGTATATTTGGAAAATACAATGTTTCCAAAATATTGGACCACAAACTATGTGCACTGATTGGTCGATTTGAGTTATTAGCCCTCTCAGCTGTTGAAGTCATGTAATAAATGTATTATTTTAGCATGGGAGTAGGGTGCTTCCTGTATGATACAACAGCAGTGTTTGACATACAGACCTTTCAGGGGTTAAAAATTGTGTTCTGGTATCTCTCAGGGTGTTCAATTTAAGGGTATAAAATGTTGAGGGAAATGCATATGGAAAGCACCCCTCCCTCCACATTACAAGACATGGAAATACAAAGAGCTCTTCATACGGGAACGCTTGCTACGCAGGCTAAGATAACCTGACCACTTCGAGCGAAGAAGTTAGTAAAGGAGAGTCTCTTGATCAAGTAGTCTTGGAAGGTCAAAAAAGTGCTGACCTGTCAACCAGGACAAGTAGATTTTCCTTCTGGGCTAGTAACTTTTCATTCTCATTTGCCTAATGGGTAAGGGATCAGCCAAGTTGTCAACCAACTAAATCAGTACATGTAAAAGAGCAAACTAAGACTTGCCCAGGGCAAGCAATATTTGAGAGATACTTGTCCTAAGGGCAAGCTGGAATTCAAGTTTTTTTCGAGCCATGAAAAGAACTAAAAGGGATATGGTAAAAAGCTTTTTGTATGTTTACTTTTCACACATTTCTTCTCAGATACAATACCTGGTGAAGATTCAGCAAAAGGTCTTCCTACTGACCCTGTAAAACTATGTGAACTAAGAGAACATATCGGAATGGAACTTCTTTGGACAGAACAAGCCATTCAAAGCCGGAAAAAAGTAAGAAATCATGTTCTGAAGGTTCAGTTTAAGGTTTAATTTTATTAACAAAGTATTGAAGCTTTAAGTCTTGTAGCTATAGGGGCTGACATTGAACTTCAGTATATTATCTGTGGCGTGGAGTACAAAAAGAGTGGCTACAGGTATCACTAGTTCCCTTTGGATAGCATGTCCGCCCATCACAAGCATACTAGCATGGTGTTAATTGTACAAAGACCCCAGACTCAAAGCTGGACCTCTTACTCCAGGGTGCAATGAGACAGGCCCATAACTTTCTCCAATGACCCAATTTTTGTAAAGTACAAATGGTACAGGCCTTGGGGGACTTCCATGTGAAAAGGTCACGATGGTTGGTGCAAAATGTGAATTTAATGCTTATAAACCCCTAATGGAGATCAATCTTGGTGTGGCTCTACCTCAACTATTTCTTGTTTCTTTTCTTGACAGTTTCACATTGTTTTACACTCTTCCCCAGTTCCATTGAAGGTTGCAGCATTCTCATTTAAATATATTTGGTGATTTTCCTTTTTTTCAGTACTTGGGTTTGAGAAAGGGATTAGCAGAGGCAGAGAAAGAAGATCCAACCATAAACTGGGAGTGAATCAGCCTCAGGACATCAGAGTAAAATCTCACTGAACAATTTAGGTTGACTTAAATTGTTGCTAGTTTTTTGTGTCGTTCAACCAAATTAAACCCACATTGAGTTTTGCATTTGCTAAACTTTTGATCTTTTTGGCTTAAACCATGATACAAAATAGTGGCAGGGATACAAAATGCTACCGTAGCCATTAGCCCTAGAGATGAACAACTGTGAAGGTGCGGTGGCCTCATGGCGGGTTCAAGCCCTGGCCAGGGTCATTGGGTTGTGTTCTTGGTCAAAACACTCAATTCTCACAGTGTATAAATAGGTACTGGCAAATTTAGTGCTGGGGATGATCCTGCAGTCTACTAGCATCCCATCCAGGGGGGAGTGGAAATACTTCTACACGCTTCATGCTACAGAAACCGGCCTGATGGGCCACTTGCCTGTATGGCTGAAATGCTGGTTAAGGTGAGCAAACTTGTTAATCAAAGATTGCAATGTAACTCACTCAGGATTATCTATTTTGAGAGACATTTCCTCATCCTGGCATGTTTAGTCTGCTTGTGTAAACAACAGCTTATCCTAATGGGAACCCTACTTCCTCTTATNCAGTATTCATCATTTGGGCAAGGAACCTTTATTAGAATGCACCCACAATTTTACAACAATTTGTACTTCTTGAAATAATTGCAACTCACTTGTGCTATTGGGCAAGTGCAAATTTCAACCCTGGATGGTGATTCATTTAGAAATCTGCTTTCAAGAGCTGAGGGTTCATGCCATTAGAGAAAGCACCCTACGCTTAAAAATAATAAAGCTTTCTTAAAACTTGACCAATTTAAATATATCCTCTTAAGGTAACAGTTAACATGCACTTGTATAGCCCAAAGAATTTTGAAGAACAACTAATTCCTAGTAATATTATTAGTATTATAATCATTCTCATTCTCATTCTCATCATCATGATCATTATCATTATTATTACTATTGTTATTATCATTATCATTATCATTACCATTATCATTATCATTATTTTTATTATTATGATAATTGTAGACATGATGCAGCCATAACACTACTTGAAAAAAGACCTGAAAAAAAAAATCAGGCTTTGAACCGGATTTGAACCGGATTTGAACTAATGACCTTTGCAATACTGGTGCATAGACATGATGATATTACTACAGAATTATTATTATTATTATTATTATAATTATTATTATTATAATTATTATTATTATTATTATTATTGTTATCATTATTTTTATTATTTGTAATTTTTTTTTTTTTTGACGATGAAACATCTTTTTTATTTTGTTTTTTTTTTTAGGTGTAGCTCCACCATCATTTGGCTTTATAAGTGCAGGAGTTGAGTTATATGTTCTAACGACCACAGGAGATGTGATGTCCTTCAAGTCTATTATGATTGTTGTGGTGTGTGCTGTCTTGTCATTAGCTCCAGTCATCTTCAAGAGACAACTCAAGGCAAAGATAGAATAACAAATTATTTAAGAATGTCTGAATGTTTTAGGAAATATATATTGGTTGGGTAGGGTGGGAATCTTTTTATAAATTTAAAGTTGTTACAATGTTATTTTCAGGCATAGACATGGAGTTAGGAAAAACAACTCACAATTAATTATAATTTTGTGAAAACAATTCATCAGTTATTCTCTTAAATGGTGTAAGGTGAACCCTCTAGGCCTATAGTCACCCCTCTTTAGTGGCTACTTTCACACATGCTATGATTTGGAATTGATATTTCTGACCCTTTGTTGATCCATACACTAAACTGTTGTTGAAAGCTCCCTACATTGGAAACTGCTCTACAACCACCAGGTAATTCTGCTGAGGCTGAATATTGCACAGGGGTTCAACTACGAAAATTCAAATGACCTTACTATATGATAGGGGTGCAAAATGGTCTTTTGAATTTTATGAGTTTCACCAAGCCTAAAAACTTTAATACAAGTCTTGGAGATTGAAAATTGTTTAACATGTGTTTTTGAATGAATCTTGGAGTGCTGAAATTTCATTTTCCATCCCTGCATCTTACTTTGTTTTGGAAGCTGCTACATGGAACTCCTTCATTCATTGTAGACCATCCCTCCTCCTTTACTCTCTTTAGACTCAGCAAATTTTTTTTTATGTTATAGCAAAAATGGACAGTGTGACTGAAAAATTATATGAAAGGGGTTCCTAGTTTTTAATTATCTTGGAAACCGTTATTGTGAAGTTCAGTTTTTTTGGCAGTGGAGGGGTTATATATGTATGTTGTCAATTTTTGCGTGCAAGACGATATACATTGCTGATTTTTAATTTAAGTTGACAGTAACTGTTGTAGTTTAATACAAGGATTAGTAGCTATAGTGTGGAAAATTTTAGTATTTTGCTTTCCATAGTACTTAGTATTTATTGTTATTAATTTTCTATACAAAAAGTGGCAAAATGTGACTGACTATTCACCCAGTTAAGCTTATTTAAGTAAAAAAAAAGTACATATATCTTCATATTTTTACAAATCAGATCACGGCAAATTTGTGCTTTTCAGTTGATGCATTACTGGATATTTATGGCTATTATGGTTCTGGAAATAAAATGTACACAGTCATTGAACTTCAACTTGATTATGTGCTCACAGCAACAATCATTCTATGTGCACAGTTCAGTGCTATTACTTAGAAGTTTTATTTATCATTATCAAATTATGAGGTATGTGAAATTATAGACTTATTAATTAAATTGTTAGTAAAAATTAAATGGATGCAATTTGGCTAAACACTTGTTCATGGTTATTTGTGTTAATGTAAAAAAGAGTGAAGTCTGCATATGAGCCAAGTGACCCATCAGGCTGGAGGTTATCCCAGTTTCTGTAGCAGGAAGTGACTAGGAGTATTTCTTGTGTTAATGTGCTACCAGTAATTTAAAACAATTTATCACTCAGATTAGATGTTGCATGGCACTGACTGGTCATCAAGACATAAATTATTAATGTTATTATTTTTTTTTTGATAAGCCAGATACTCCGTAGCCTGCAAACACAGACAGATTTTCAGCTTTTGTTTCATGCCACTGAATATTTTCAACAGCGTGAAACAAAAGCCAGAAATTGGTCTGTGTTTGCAGGCTAGATACTATGTCCATAATTTTTAAATGGTTGAGAGCATTTAGTATACATTATTGTGGAACAGAGAGGGTGTGGGTGTGAAGGGAATGAATTTAAGATAAAGGAGGAAAAATCTGAGCTATAAATAAAGAACAAGGAAGTGGTTTTTGATATTTAGAAGCTTTTGGTTAATATATCGTTTAAGAATTCTGTTTTAGGATTCTTGCTGACTGTTGTCAATCCAAACAAATTGAATTTGTAAGGGTTATTTCTCAAATCATTAATTTTAGGTCTACTTTTAGGACAACATCCTATTATCATAATTTTGACAGGGTTGGTGCTTTTCACATCATAATGCAAAAGTGTTTTCGCTTGGACCTCTCAACCCTTTGGAAATTCCAGCTTAGCCTCATCTTTTGCTTTATTAAGTTTGTAGCTTTGAGATCTGACCCTCGCTTCAGTTTTCATAAAAGTTT